TACTTACATCTCAGATTTTAAGAGCATTCAGTTCTTCAACTGTAAAAGAAGGATAATACTCCCACCTCGTAAGGGTGTTGTGAGGATACAATCCATTAATGATTGTAAGATGCTCAAATAATACAGCGTTGAGGGCCCTAGGAGTAGGTACAGCTGGCTCAGACACTGGCTGCTGGAACGTGGGTGTAGCTGAAGTAGTGTTCCAATATTCAGAAGCAGCAGCACGCTCTTCTAAGGGAAGATGAGAAGTGAGGGCCCCAACTCATGGTGGCAGCACCAACTGCTCCCCTCAGGTGCATACACAGCAGTCTTTGAGCTTTAAGAAGGAGAAACGTCTATCTGCTAAGTTGTCTTTTTACTCAAGCAGGTGGTATTACTGTTACTGGAGGTGCCAAAAAAGCACTACCCCAAAGTCAGTTAGAAGTAGAGGCATTAATAAAGTAAACATCGACATACCTTAAACATGTAACCCTAGTTTATAATATAATTCACTTGTCCTACCTGACATAGGATGTGGTATCATACAACCTATTTAGATATTAATTTATTTGAGATATCTCAAATCCTCCATCCCCACACAAACATCAAGACTAAACTAGCTTTGCACCAATTAATATGTGTTCATTTCGGACAGGCAGTGATTACAAATGGCTACACAAATGCTATGACAGCCGACAGGGCTCTCAATCTACAAGGACCAGGTTTACGTACTATGTATATATCAATCATGCCTTCTAATGCACCCACATAAAGCAGCACAATTCCCAGAGATGTACAGACCCTTCCGCATGCTCTCCATGTCCTACTTCCTCCATCCCATGCAGCAGAACCACAGTGGTTCTACTGTGTTTTGGCCAAAATGAGCCAAAACTTGAGACTTTGCGAATAACAATTCATTGGTTAATTTCCAACTTCATTTGTCTTGTTTATTTTCCGAGGGCAAGCATTTACATACATTTTGTTCTATCTGAATTATCAAAACCATTAAACGTCATCCATCAGGAAAAGAAATTAGTAGTTTAATGCTCATGAAAAATGCTGGATTGATACGTCTACAGAATGAAGAGAAAAAGGATAGTATGGCCAGTGACACTGCAAGCTTCTCATAGTACCTCATTAATGTGTGTCAGCTCTGCACTGGAAAAACCACCTTAGCATTTAGAAAGTAGCTCATTCACCATGCACATGAAATCCTTGGCATGCTCACTGAGGCTAGCAGCAAAGGTGCCATTTTTTATGGCAGTTTTTGTGCTGTGAACACCCGTCTACCAGAACTTTGACTGAGATATACTTACGATATGCCACTTTGGGCAGTGATCTCATAAGTTACTCAGTACTCAGACAGAAGACATGCATAGAAAACCCCAGATCTATGGAGAATAGTGCTGGCAATTCACCAGGTGACACTGTGCTCTCCGAGTCATTGAACAAAAGCTCCAGCTAGTATTAAGGGGCACTGCACTGAATGTGCCGTTATTATTTACGCAATTATTGTTACTTATGGTAGGGCCCCATTGGGCTAATGCTCTGCAAACACAAGAGAAGATATGGCCTTTCCCATGACAAGCTCACCATCTAAACTGAACAGACTAACTATCAGCAAAATGTAAAAGGCAACACTTTTTAGTTTCCATTTTTTTTCATGTCCCCCAAGCCCACCAGCTGCAACCCCTCTATCCAAATGCTCCAGCCAATGTGCTCCACCACTGCAGACCAATAGGTCCTTCTTCCAGCCTAGATAGCTCCAGCTGTTTTCCCTTGCCACCTCACACTGCAGAGTAGGTGCCCTGGGTTGGAAGCTGGCCTGTGATCTCTCCTGTCCCTCTGCAGTCCTTGCAAACAGCTCCAGATGCTCTCCCACCTGAGCTTACCTACACACAAGAGAGCTTTGGATCTGTTGCTTTCTCTAAGGCTTTGTATCTGGCTGATGAATCTTTCCCATATGCTCAGGGTTTAGCTGATCGCCATATTTGGGGTCGGGAAGGAATTTTCCTCCAGGGCAGATTGGAAGAGGCCCTGGAGGTTTTTCGCCTTCCTCTGTAGCGTGGGGCATGGGTCACTTGCTGGAGGATTCTCTGCTCCTTGAAGTCTTTAAACCACGATTTGAGGACTTCAATAGCACAGACATAGGTGAGAGGTTTATTGCAGGAGTGGTGGGTGAAATTCTGTGGCCTGCGTTGTGCAGGAGGTCAGACTAGATGATCATAATGGTCCCTTCTGACCTAAATATCTATGGGAAAAAAAAAAAACACTGGGGCCCGGTTGTGTTTGGCTCTGTACAAGCACAGAGGTAGAAAGACTGATCCTGTAAGGAGCTCCTTGCAGGGGAATTAGTTCATGTCACATTTTCTACCAAGGTCAGTGGACACATGTATTTTTGGTAGCTATAATCCCCCATCACCAACCTTCAGGACATAACCACTATTTAAAAATCAACTCCACTTTCACAAAAGTTCTTCTTTATGAATTGCTCAGGACCTCAGGGCAACCATAGACCATATTCTCTTTCCCCTCCATGAACAAAGCACACTTCTTTGCCTTCACACACAATAGGCCATTCACAAACTATACATTAAAACAACAACAACAACAACATATTGTGCAAATTCCCCCCCGCGGAGAAGCCTGGAGAAGGAATAACACATAACAAATAATAGTTACATTGCTTACTGCACCATTGGAAGTCACTCAGATAACACAGTGATGGGCCTAGTATAAGAACCGATACAACCACTGAAGTCAATGGTTAGTGGTTGAGCCAGTTACACCAGCAGATAATTTGGCTGCACATATTTACAGTAGATTCAATCTGTTTCACAACCTATATCTAAATGGAAAGCAGAAGCTTTTATGCTGATGAAAATTCAAATTCAACACCATGACAATAAAATAAATTAATCAGAAGTCCATATAAATATAAGGATGCTGTATTTGTAACTTCAGTCAAAGCTCTACATAAATGTTACTAACTACAATAGGTTTAATTATGTTCCAACTGCTTCATTTCAAAATTATGTATCATTCCTATTTACACTAGATAAAAAATTGGTCAGTATTTTTCACTTCCTGTATTATGCTGCTGTTACGTAGTTTTGCTATATGCTATTTAGCAAATTATCAGCTTTTTATTCCACTATTGGCAATGTGATTCATATATAGTTTTGCAAATGTTTTGGTAGTCTTCTTAATGAAATACTACACATAAAGGTAAGCTCATTATCATTTCACAAAGGTGATCAAGGAGCAATCATATTGTAAATACTTTTGTTCACTACTAACCAGAATAAATGATGTAGAGACCTTAACAAGAAAAAAGCATTATATCCCATTGCCTTCCCCAAATTAAAAATTCAGTTATGAAAGTGGATCTATTTCATTTTATAATTTTGACTTAATATGAGAGTTAATATGAAATGTAGATTGAGTTGTCAAGTACGATGCTTATAGATTAAAAGAAAAATGTCTAGTCCCCTGATCCTGTGCCCACTATTACCAACAGGAGAGTGGGTTTGTTGGGGGGAAAGGGGGAGAGAAAACCTGGATTTGTGCTGGAAATGGCCCACCTTGATTATCATACACATTGTAAGTGATCACTTTAGATAAGCTATTACCAGCAGGAGAGTAGGGTGGGGGGAGAGAAAACCTGTAGTGATAAACACCCATTTTTTCATGGTTTGTGTGTATAAAAACATCTTCTGTATTTTCCACAGTATGCATCCGATTAAGTGAGCTGTAGCTCATGAAAGCTTATGCTCAAATAAATTGGTTAGTCTCTAAGGTGCCACAAGTACTCCCTTTCTTTTTTTAAAGAATAATTTATCTTATATAAATAAATCAAACTACAGTATTTGTAAATTCAGAGCAAGTAAAGTACGAAGCACTGGTTTTTTTTAAACTCACAATTTGTAAATTAGAATCTGTATTACATTATAGCCATACCCTACATCAATTGCACACAATTACCGTACATTCATTCTAAAAGCATCTAGATATGAGAGCTCTATATCAAAGAAACTGAATTACCTCTTAGTTAGCCAACTACAGTATTCATTTTACCATTTATCTGCAAACATGAAACAGCAATAGAAATACAATAAGCAACAAGAGATTTGTCAAAAATAGGGCAGTGTATACATTTGTGTTCTTTTTTAAAGCTAGGGCACTAATTTAGCCTTATATTGGTACTAGTCAATTTCTATTGTATTAGCATAGCCTTAGATTTACACTTCTTGGCATCTAAAATGTTAGTATGATACATCTAATTATCACTCAATACACATGCCCACTGCTCTTTCCAAACAGTAACTATTCTTGCATTGAGGTCAACTAGTAAAATTATTACTACCAAAACTAAAGACAATATAGAATGGACTTCCAAAACAGTCAAGGAAATAAGAAAAATATAACCTAGACATACTTAGAATTCTAAATTGCATTTGAGATTTTACACTGAGATCTCATAAGAACCTGCCCTCCCCAGCAAAAAAAATGCCCACAAAGGAAATGATCCTGTAGTTTAACAAAAGCCTCTTGCAGTCTCTCTTTCCCTGCCAGGTACAAGAGCTAATAGAAGCAGACTATCCCGCAGGAAAAGAGGATGATATTAGTCTTGTGTTGGCCAAAAAGGACCAGAGAGCTCCTTATGTTGTAGGACTTCTACAAAAAAGAAGAAAAACAGCTAGAATGCCTCTCTTCCATTATATTTAACCTCTGCTGGAAGGGGGAGGAAGTCTGGATTTTACACGCTAACATATTACAAAGCATATGTTGGACTTCAGTTATCAGTTTATCTCACCATTACCAAACAATGTATTATAGACATATACCAAATATAACACACCCCTTTGCCATTGCAGTGAAGTACGGCGAATATGCAGGTAGCTGTAACTTTTATTTAATCAAACCCGAACCGCCCTGCAAACCCATCCCCTCTCAATGAATGGTACTGTCTTCCGAAGGCAGGTTTCTGACACTGCAGTAGCTTGTAACAAAAATATGGATATGCACCCTGCAGCCATCTCCGTGTAAGAAACCAGCCCCCCGGCCCCCGGAAAGAGAGTGGTCCCTGCTCAGTGCATTCACCACTCCGGAGAGGACTCAAAGATCACTGCGTGTTCCTTACCCTGCTCAGCCTGGACACTCTGGAAAAGGGCTAGGATCACCCCAATCAGCATGACAGCCCTGGAGATGGCCCCGTGGCTGGTAGGTGGCTGGGAGCTCCGCCGATCAGGGCATCCTAGGGCTCTGCCAGCTGCCCAAGGCAGAGAGGCGGCAAACAGGTCCCCCAGCTGCCCGGCATGCTCACACCTCTGATCGGCCCCCTCCGCGCCGAGAGCCATTTGTGGGGCTCACACATCAATGCCGCTCCCTGCTTCCAGAAGCGCCCGGGAGTCCCCCGCCCCACGGCTCACGGAGCTCCGCTGGCCATGGCCCCCCGGCCCCGGGGGAGGGTGCAGGAGAGGGCGCCGCGCCGCCGCCGCCACCTTACAGCCGGCGCAGGGACTGCGAGGAGCGGCTGAGGCTGGGGGACCCCATGGCGCCCGCGCCTCTCCCCGGCCGGGGGACGCGCTGCCGCTGGCCGCCCACGCTGGGCTCCGGGGGGCGCGGCGCCGGTGCCCCCTCGCCGGCTGCTCCGCTCCGGCTCGCGCTCCGCGGCTGGGGCGCGCGTGCAGCTGAGCCAGGCAAGGGCGCCGCCGCGACAAAGGAATCACGTAGCAGGCAGCCGCCTCCCCCCTCCCTCCACTCCAGCCCCGCTCCCGAGCGCGGGGAGCTGAGCAACGGAGGCGGCGCTGCCGGGGCGAGGGGGACCCCTTCTGGGCGCCTCAGCCACCGGGAACCCGGCCCCGCCCCGCTGTGCAGCGTGGGGCACCGGGGTCCCGCCCTGGCAAGGATTATTCGGGCACAGCGCGCTCTGGCCCGCCAGCGTCTTTCCCCTGACGCCCAGGACCAGTTCCCTCGGAGCGGGTCCCCCTTTCTCTGTGCGGCCTCAGAGCCCTTGCCCAAGGGGGGCGGGGGGTACAGCACGCTGGGGTGGATCAGCCAAGGGCCTCCCATAGCTCTATGCTGAGAAGAGGTCTGTGTGCTATTGCCCACACAGAGGCCCTGGCGTTACAAACTTCGGGGAGGGTTAGCAGTGCGGCGAGCCTGCTGTGGTGTCCTCCGCTTCATCAGGGAGAGTGGTGCTCAGGGCTGTGAGGTGGTGGTGGCCGGTAAACTCAGAGGCCAGCGAGCCAAGTCTATGAAGTTTGTGGATGGCCTGATGATCCACAGTGGAGACCCTGTAAACGACTCTGTCGACACAGCTGTGCGCCACCTCCTCCTCAGGCAGGGTATGCGGGGTATTAAAGTAAAGATTATGGTGCCTTGAGACCCAGGTGGGAAGCCTGGACCCAAGAAACCCCTGCCAGACCATGTCAGCATTGTGGAGCCCAAGGAAAAGATCTTACCCACCACACCCATCTTGGAGCAGAAAGGTGGCAAACCAGAACAGCCAGCCATGTCTCAGCCAGTTCCCACTGCATAATGGGATTTTTCAATACTTGGAAGGAGAAGGTGGACTGTGGCCCATGAGAGGATCTTAATAAAATCATAAAAGACATAGCTTCTCCTCCACCCTGCTGGAACTGTTGAGCTGTGACTATCCCCCTCCCGCCTCATGAGTTTTGGGGTATTGTCCTACAGGCAGCAATGCTACTTCCACCTCTCTCTTCAATGAGTGACCATTTTAAATTAAAACAGCACAAAGAAATGAGTCAGAGATTGTTAGTCTACTTGCAACCATGCCCTGCCCTATAACTTAAGGGGGGCATAAGGAAGAGGTTACAGCTGACCGTCTCAGCAAAGCCCACAGCCTGTTAAAGCCCAAATGTGAGAGAGTAGCCTTTAATACAACAAAAAATACACAAGAACCTGAAAATGATGTGGGTACAAGCACAGGGCCAGAGGAATGAAAGGGGCACCTACCCCAACTTTTTTTTTATCCTATTGACATCCCACTCATGGCAGTTTCAGTACATATGCCTGGTCTTTCTCATAACCTTTTTTATTATGTGAAGGCACCAGGATGCAGGGGTCTTTTATTTTTTAACATATGAATTAAGCTATATTAATTCAAATACCATTCCTCTGGCAGTGATATAAAGTTGGCAGGAATCTAAAAGTTACTACAATGGATGGGAGTTCATTGGCCTCTGTGGAACTAATTGAGGGCTTCAATCTAATGGTCATGTGTCAAAAGCACAAATACAACCACCACCAATATCAGTCTTGGAACAAGTAATGAAAGGGGATAGACACTGAACTGTAAACTCACCCCTTAAAGGGTCTCTCCAAGTCACTGATGTCATTAAATGGAATAGTGGGGTTCTACTGCTGTTCTGGAGACAGAGGGCTTCAGAAATGATGGCTCTTATTGAAGGCAATGTGAGTTTTGCCATTGACTTCAATAGGGCCAGGATTTCACGCTCAGTCTCCTGTGCTGCCAATCTTTCATCAGAACAAAATTCACACACAACTGCAAAATATCTATGAGGGTCTAGACATCAGCCAGGGCTGTACTCACTTAAGGCGCCTTGTACTTCAGACTGCAAAATCTGCTATTCTCTATCCAGGCCAGGAAGAACTGGGTGTGCTGAGAAGTCAGGACTCAAAACCTGAAGGTGAGAGAGCACCTCAAATCACTATGACAGACACCAACTTATCTGAAGCAAGAAGAAGTAGCAGCATAAAAATCAGAAAAGTGTAAGGAAGTAAACACATATAGCAGGGCTGACTTACAGCGCAGCATGGCAGAAACATCCCCCCCCACCCCCCCCGCACCGCTGTAAACAAAGGGAGGATGACTCCTGGTTCTACAGCTCTTTGCTCTGTGAGGCTAGGGAATTCCTTTCCCCTCTCTTCCGCCCCTCTCCCCCCCAATCAGTAGCCCCTTTCCCTCAGCCACCTGCTAAGCCTCCTCCCCCAGAACATTTTCTCCCCATTCAGTGGCACACCTGGCTAAAGTTGGAAATTGAAAAGCCTAAATATTTCATCTGGGCTGCTTAGGGTTCAAACTTTCTCTTTAGCACGAAAAAAAAAAAAAAAAAAAAAAAAAAAAAAACTAAGAAGAAATGTTTTTCTTGAAATCAGTAAAATAATATATTCCTGGACAGAAGGGACTTCAGTCAACAGTGGGGTGCAGAAATTCCAGAACCATCTTCTTACAGCATAACTAAACAGAACCGCTCATTATTCCTTCTCTCCTCAGTTCCACTTCACCCCACAACTGAGACTGGAGCATCCCACAAACACTAGAGCAGTGTTACTCAGACTGAGACTCAGGAACACTGTCTCCTGGGCGGTGGCCTCCAATGTCAGGAAGAAGATGACTTTCACATACCTCTTGGAGGCCACCATTCTGGCCGGGGGCCCTACCACCTGTGCCAATGCCCGCACATCAGTTTTGACGTGGGGCAAGGTGACCACCAGGTAGGGTGACCCACATGTCCCGATTTTATAGCAACAGTTCCAATATTTGGGATTTTTTTTAATATATAGGCACCTATTACCCCACACACCCCCTGTCCTGATTTTTCACACTTTCTATCTGGTCTCCCTACCACCAGGAGGCAACAGACACAGTGCTTCCTTGTCAGGTTGGTGAAGGGACCCTGGCCACCACTGATATTGGAAGAGGAGGCAGCAGCAGTAGGAGGAGCGGTTGTGGCAGATAGCGATGAGGCAGTAGGTGGGGCCTTGACCACCTGGGCATAAACTCGAGTGGCTGAAGAGTGAGCACCCCTAGAAGGGAAGGACGCTCGCTGGTAGAAGAGACATCAAGGGGAGGGGGAGCTGCAGTGGTAGCAGCTGTCACCACAAAAGGAGCCTTCTAGGCAGAGCACTAGACCTTTTTTCTGCCCCCCCTTTCTGCCAGCCGAGGGGTCCCTTGGTGATGGCAGGAGTTTTTGCAGCAAAGACCCGTCCTGTGCCTTCTGTGCCAGTCCACTGGGGGTGCTGGTAGTACCAGAAGTGGTGATAGTGGTGGTAGCTGCAGGGACAGATGGGGGAGAAAGCAGACGTGGCAGCAATGGCAGGGATTCCCCCTCCTTCAGTCTCCCCCTGTCTCCCAGACAAAGCTGTGGGAGTGGAAGGCTCACCTGGTATGGCCAAGTCAGGGTCTGCCACCGAGTGCAGGTGACAGGACTAGACCCTGGAGGGGAGGGTAGAAATGTTAAAGGGAAGGGTGAAGGTAGGGAAAATGGAGGCTGATCCCTCCTCCCTAATAGGCTATATATGGGGGAGAAAGAGGAAAACAAAATAAAGCAAGGAGGGTGTGGGGCATAATAGGCAGTGTTCAAGGGGGTGGGGGGCACTGACTACTCTGGCTGCACTTGGTGAGAGGCAGCTGTAAGTGTGAGAGGGATGCAGGGAATAGAGAATGACACAATTTGGTGAGGGGAAATCACAAGTGCTGGGAAGCTCAGGTGTATGGAGGAAACGGGACAGGACTGGGCACAGCAGAGAACAAACAGCCAGGGAAGGGGGCAGTGAACAAACAGCAAAAAGTGCAGGGACTGGGAAAGAGAGTACAAAACAATGAGGGGAGAGTCTGGGAGGGGCAGGTACTAGACAGCAAGAGGAGGGGGCCCCAGGAAGAGCAGGTAACCAAATATTAAGGGGGAACGGGACTCAGGCAGGGCCAGTACCAAGCAGCATATGGAGAAGGTGGCCCAGGCGGGGTAGGTAACAATGTGGCAAGGGGAGGACTGCTCCCCAGGGCAGGAAACAATAAGGAGGAAACCCTGGGTGGGGCAAGGGAAGCAGCTAACAACAAAGAGAGGGCAGCGGAGACAGGTAGCCAGTTGGGGAGAAGCCAGATGAAAGTGGGGGAGGATTGCAAACACCAAGGGGTGGGGCAGGTGGGCAATCAGAAGCAGGTTGGACACCAGTTTACTGCAAACTGGGAGGAAGGGAAGGGGAGGGAAAGCCCAAGGTTAAGTACATTCACCCATGTATGCTTGCAATAACGTCTCCATTGCAAGAGTTCCAGGGTAGGCAGGTGGAGGCAAGCCAGCTGGCTAACAGATCAGCAAGCAGATGGTCTTTAGGGGCAGTAGGTAGAATGGGCCTCATTCCATGGGGGGAGGGCTCCACACCACTCCCCTTTTCCCCAGCAACAGTAACAGCAGTAGGGGTAGCTCAACTAGTAGCAGCCAAAGCAGCAATGGCTAGCCCTCTCCTTCAGGCTGTGTGGAGGGGAATGCAGTTTCCTGGGTACCAGCCTGCTTCTTTGGCTGCTGTAGACCAGCTCTCTCCTCAGCTTATTGGCCCACTGAGCCTTATAATTAAATCTGTCCCTGACACAGAGGGGAACAAGCAGTGCTGTCAGCAGGTAGTGTGAGTGAATGGTAAGGAGGCTAGAACAGTGATTCTCAATAGGGGTACGCAGAGGTCTTCCGTAGGGTATGGCAACACATCTTTATTTGCCTAGTTTTACAACAGGCTACATAAAAAGCACTAGTGCAGTCAGTACAAAAAACTAAAATTTCATACGATTTGTTTATACTGCCCTATACGCTCGATACACTGAAATGTAAGTACAATGTTTATATTCCAATTGATTTTTTTTATAATTATATGGTAAAAAATGAGTAAGCAATTTTTCAGTAATGACATGCTGTGAAATTTTTATATTTTTTGTTTGTTGTAAGCAAGTCATTTTTAAGTGAGGTGAAACTTGGGGTACATAAGACAAAGAAGCTTCTTGAAAGGGGTACAATGGTTTAGAAAGGTTGAGAGCCACTGGGCTACAGGCTAAGAGGCCTGCCCTAATACAGTGGTATCTATGGTGAGCGTGGAACAAGATGAAAGATACTTTGGGGGGAAATCATGACCATTCTTATTCCAAGGTCCTGGAAGTAGAATTGCTTCCTAAATGGGGAAAACAGTACTTGAAGTAAAGGAAAGTACTATTTTCTCCTTGTTACAATAATATGTTTAAAAAACAGAAGGAAAGAGGAGTTCTCTTTGTTAAATGTTCACAAGGGAGGGAAAATAGATCCCAGCTATGGGAACCTGCAGCTGCAAATCCCCAGATCCTTGCAATACTGATAAGTGAAATTACATATTTGTTTTACTAATTTGGTACCGTTGAAGTGGTAAGGTATGTCTACACTGAGAAGTTGTTGACAAAACTTTTGTCTTTCATGGGTACTTAAAAAAGCCCCTCCGGGAAAGACAGTTTTGCCGACGCAAGTGGCAACGCTTTCCTGCCGACAAAGCTAATGCCGCTTGAGGGGGTTGGAAGTATTTTGTCGACAAAAATGCCGACAAAGAGCATTTACACATGCTGACTTTTAGTGACAAGGCTGTGTCGACACAGCCTTGTCGCTAAAAGCTGCGTGGTGTAGATAACCCCTTAGTTGTATTATGCAATAGCTAATGTGTCCCATTTGTGCTATTTTACTCAATTTTTCCTCAAATCACTAATTCATCTTATCCAGAATTAGCTTCCATCTGGTGACTATTAGTAATTATCCACACAGAAAAGATGAAAGTTGAATGGTTCTTACAGGTATGTATGTTGTAATGGCTAGTTCACTCATTACTGCAGGGGTTAGTTCTAGCAGATGTATTTAGTGCAGTGCCCTCTAGTGGTACCCTGTGTATAGTGCCTTCTACTAGATAACTTGCCTAGTTTGCTCTTTATGTTAATTTGATTATTTCTAACTTTTGGTAATGAAAATCTGCAATAAAATGTATATGAGGCACACGTGCACCTGAAGTGGAGCACCCATAAAAAACCTCAAGAAGAAGAGTTAGTACCATACAATAGAACCTCACAGTTACCAACACCTCGGGAATGGAGGTTGTTCATAACTCTGACATGTTCGTAACTCTGAACAAAATGTTATGGTTGGTCTTTCAAAAGTTTACTGAACACTGACTTAATACAGCTTTGAAATTTTAGTATGCAGAAGAAAAATGCTGTTTTTGATCATCTTAATTTAAATGAAACAAGCACATTTTTTTAAACTTTTCCTTTAGTTTTTAGTAGTGTGCATTTAACACAGTACTGTATTTGCTTTTTTTCCCGGTCTCTAGTGCTGCCTGATTGCATACTTCTGGTTTCAAATGAGGTGTGTGGTTGACCAGTCAGTTCATAACTCTGGTGTTTGTACCTCTGAGGTTCCACTGTAAACCAGTAACAGGTAAGAATTTTGCAATTTTAGCTGTGTACATCTCTCTCCCATTGTGGACTCAGAAACAAGGCCAAAGTCCTAACATCCTAATTTAGAATAACTAGAGTGGGTCAGATTGGGGTAAAATGTTACCTGATCATTTCTGTTATGGAAGTAACAGATTTTTCATTCTGGATCATATTCCACCCAAACTGTGATTTATAGGAAGTAGTGAGGATCAGGATTATTGAAGGGGAAAATGATCACTAAAAAGCAAAAACAGATACCCTCCTTCCTCAAAAAATAAAAATAAAAAACCAGCTATTTGGAGACTACTATATGCAACACCTTCTTACCAAAGGACATATTTGCAGAGGACAGGAATTCTAATTTGTAGTCTTTGGCTGCTCTACAAATTTTTTATGTTGTAGCTGTTGCATTTTCCATGCCTTGCCATTGATTGCTTTTTCCTTCTGGGATTCATTTGTTAGGCCTGGTTTACACTAGGAAATTAGGTAGGTATAACTGTTGCTCAGGTATGTGAAAAATCCACCCCCCTTGAATGATTCACTTCCAGTGTAGACAACAATAGGGAGATAGGAGAATTCTCCCATCATCCTACCTACCGCCTCTGGGGGAGATGGATTACCTACACTGATGGGAGAAGTCCATCCGTTGTCAGAGGTAGTGTCTTCACTGAACCACTACAGCAGTACCACTGCAGCATTTTAAGTGTAGACAAGCCTTCAGATTCCTTTTATGCTTCAGTCACACTGCACTTCATCTAGCTATGGACAATGTGGATACCCTAGGAACTGAACGCTTCAGGTGAAAGGATACAAACTTGGAAGTTAAACATTTCATTGATTGCATTCATTTGAGGTATATTTTCAGTGTGCTGCATCTATCTAGATTGTGCCATAGCTTCTCTTTAGGGAGGTGAGAAGGACTACCTAAAACGAATGGGTGGTGGCAGAGAGCTGCTCTTCACGTTGATTACAAAGCTGTGGGACTGCAGCATGTCCAGATGTTGACCTCGTTGTTTCTCAGGATGATGTCCCTATGAGAGTTTTATCAGGAAAGGGCTATAGGTGTGCTGCCAGGAATATGAACCTTATATTACTACATGTTTATGAAAACCCTGAGATCTTGTACTGGAAATGGGAGTTCCCATATACAGACCTCAGCAGACAGTGGTGTTATGGGCATATGGAAATATGACAATAAGCATCTGGTAGGTCCAAAATGTCAGCAAGTATCTCTGGAGATATTACTGCTACAAATTTGTACTATAGCTTTCATCCTGAATTTTGTTCTCCTCATCCAGCTGTTTAATCATTTGAACTTTAGTACTTTAGTCCTGCAGTTCCTTTCTGTATGATGAATAATATAAAATACAGATTCTGAAAATATTTCTTCTTGGGGATTGAGTTCTGTTATCTGGAAGGATAAAAGATATACATTTGCCAGCATGATGACTTAGGGAGGAGGGATAGCTCAGTGGTTTGAGCATTGGCCTGCTAAACCCAGGATTGTGAGTTCAATCCTTGAGGGGGCCATTTAGGGATCTGGGGCAAAAATTGGGGATTGGTCCTTCTCTGAGCAGGGGGTTGGACTAGATGACCTCCTGAGGTCCCTTCCAACCCTGATATTCGATGATTCTATGACTTCATGATAAGATCCCTCACCCTTAGGGAGGAGCAGTGAGTAACTGTAAAGAACTGTTTCCTGAACCCACTTGTCCTGGGTCTATTTGACTTCATTGTTGGGGAAAAAGAGATTCAGCCTCCTAGACATCTCTGTTGCTGCAGGCATATTTGTCTATTCTTTGGTTCCATGGCCTCTCTTTGCCATCTCTGGCTGCTGTAGGACTGAAAAAGCCCTTCTGTTGGGGGTGATAGCTTATCTCTTCTGGTCCTTGGAAGGAGATGGGAGGGAGTGTTATAACTTAGGCACACACACAAAGAGCTGCTTTGACTGGCAGACTGTATTTGAATTCTGATTTCAAAGAGGAGGGATATCCATACTTCTTGTTTCATCCTGGAAAGGGCTTTGCAAGTCCACCCTGAGGGCGGAGAGGGTTTGGAGTCTTAGTTGTCTTAACAGGCAAAATAACCAAATAAGTCCATGGGGCTGATACATGGGGACTCCTAGGCTGACAGCCTTTGTACATATTGTCAAGCTCGAACTACAATTAGTTCCATTTGGCTGAAGATTGTTATAGTAAAATAAATGTTTTTCATGGAAATCAGCACATAGTCTTAATACAGTCTTGCATTAGATCCTATCTGGAGCCCTAGCACACCACAACATGGGGATGGGGATTCTGTGGCTCGACTCCTCCCCTTTATTGATGGCTGGGGACCTCCTCTTCTCCCAGAGAGGCAGGGGTAGTGGCATGAAGCCCCATTTTGCCTCTCATGCAGCAGGAGGAATGGGGGGGGAGGGGGGCAGAAAAGAAATTTAGCACTTACCCCAGTAGGTGGAGTATATCTGCTTGAGTGGATATGAGGGCCGGGCTCAATGCACTCTTCTGCTGCCACATGCAGATATCTTTGTTGGGGTGGTAGTGGTGGGCCACCCCCAAAACAACGGATCTTGGAGTTAATACTCTCTCGAGATGCTTGGAAGTGCCCACATCTTTCATAGTTAATGTCTCTGGCTGTCTGCACATGCAGGCATTGGTCGTATTTGGTTCACATTTTCAGACTTTCCCCTCACAACCACAAGAGTCAGAAACATACTGTTTTTTAAATAAAGCAAAGCTTTGACATTTGAATATATCAGAATCTAAGAGCTAGAGCCCTACACACTGGTTTTATCGTGTCTTAATCTGGCCTTGAAATGATGTCGTGAAAAATAAAAGCTGCCAACAATTTATTTGCTGCAATATATATTTTAATCCAAAGTGAATCTCAACAGTAATACACCATAAATTCTTATTTTGACACTCACCAAAATAGTCACCTGGAAAACCCGCTTTTTGTGACAAAGTACAGAAGGCTTGGTCACATTTAAATCACTGAGAACTAGAGAGAAATACTATCGCAAACTGTAAGAGACATTACATCCATAAAAATTTTTCCCAGTCCTCGTATTGTAATATTGCACAGTGCAATTGCTACATGGCGAACTAGTGTAGCATAGAAACCAAAAGCAAAAAAACAAACAAACAAACAAAAAAAAGCCACAAGTCTACAAATTGTTAAACAGTAACAATTCAAACTTAATAATCAAGTCTACATCCTTGGGTATTTCTAAAACAATCTTCCTACAGCTTGCAGTGTGATTTAACTTTTACTTAACACAAACCAAGTTAAAATTAGAAATGCAGAAAATTTAAAAATTTAAACCAAAAGAATTAGTTAATACAGTAGCATATCTGATTAATAAAAACACTCTGAATTAAAGTTAAAAACTGAATACAAGAAATTCATATAAAATAATTCACAAATTAAAATAGTATGCAAATATGCAATTCTGTAGTCATGCAGTGTTTTATTTAAAAAAGGCATTAAAACAATCTGATGTGTATATGCTTCACTGATGAGGGATGACTGTTTCCACAGATTTAGGCACCAATCCTGAAAGCAGTTCTATACAGATGGACCTTGGACACCTGCACAAAATCCCACTGAAGTCAACTGGACTCCACATGGGTGCAAAAGCTTATTGCAGGATCGGTACCACACAAACATTTCATTATTCAGAATTTAGGTTGTGGCAGAATCCCAAATATTTAGTTCTTTGAAATTCAAACACATTTCTATTCTTACAATATATAAAGAGCAGCAGGCTTAATTTGGGGCACATTTACAGTACATTTTTCTTGTGAATTTATAGGATAATATTGTGCCATACAGGTAAACGTGTCAATTTAACAAGCATATTAGCTTTACATCCTAAGTACAGTAAAAAGTACAGTAAATATATTAAAGCAATGGAGATTCCCATGGCCCCAAATAAAGAACACTGTAATTTTTTTTATCATAATACAAAAGTAAATGAATCCTTTTGTGCTGGTGGTTCTTGGTGTGTCCACTGCCTGCAATGGAGGTAACACCAAGAGAACTCAATTCCCAACACCAAGGTGTTAACTGAGGATAGGAATCTGCTAGAACAGATAGTACAAGTTTGAAGTGTTAAGGTGTATGACGAATTTACTTGAATATTTTCTTGACTCCATATATTTAGGCTTTATATATGTGCTGATAAGATTTCAAATTAATCAGGCTACTCTTAGTTTCTAATGTATACTTTACATATACATTTATATTTGTAAAAAAGGCATAGAGTTGGTTACTAAAAACACTGAATCTTGTGGGAAAAGTTAGGTTTCTTTTGCAGTGTGATTAAAAATGTACTGCTGGTATTGGTTTATGATATAACACTGTTGTATTTCAGTTTTTGTTATTTTTTAAAAAACAACATCAAATATAGGCACAGTTATTTCATTTGGACATTCATTAAATAAAACACTGCTTGTATTAATGGAGTAAAGAAAAAATCTACCAGTTATTAGCTTATTGACAGAGTTAAACAAATACTTTGCACTCTTATTCCAGTCAATGCTGCAAATATTGTATTCCAGAATATTTTTTGTTTAAAAAAAAGTTAAGTCAAGCCTGCAAGTTACAGCTTCTTAAGTGTCTACATAATGCAATATGAAAACATAAAAAATTAAGTTACATCCATCCATCCACTTATATGCAGTGATGAGCCCAAAGTTAATGGAGATAAAATACTGATGCAAATAACACCCCAAAATAACATATTCAATTAAACTTCCATCATTTACAATATAGTAGTTACGACACTCCAAACGTAAAAGCAAAATAAAAATCAAAACCCCCACTTCTATTTCATGTAATTAGACTTATACAGAAATTAGAAGGCTAAGAAAGAACTAGTTAATCAACTAATTTCACAGCTATCTGAAGTGGCAATCATGATATAGCAGCTTATCTATGATACATTCAAGATAATGATACAATTTATTACTTACCCATAAGCTAACACACAGCCTGTTTAATACCTTCTTTAAATCCCATCTCTACACTACAGTATACTTGAGGTCTATGAAAAAAGTAGCTACCTTTTATAGAAAATGGATGATTAAGTCTTTGGTGCTGCAAAAGCAACTTCATTTGAACAAAAACAAAAAACAAAAAAGACAAAACTTTCTAGGAAAGAAACTGCAAAAAGCATGTAATTTACGTCCCTGACGGAATGTATTAAATAAGCAAACACCCCAACAAGCTAAAACAAATACTATAATGAAAAAGGCTAAAATCTCTCCCATGCATAAATGAAAATTGCACACAAAGAACTCACATCTTTTCAAGCTTCAATAGTAAATATTCTGCTACTACTTATTAAATACTGCATGGTTTGCTCAAGCTAAGATGAAATCACATCATGAATCAATGAGCATTTTGCTTTTTCTTTCATAATCTAGTCAAAGTCATGCCTACTGCACCTCTAAACATATTAAATCCAATTAGACAAACACTTTGAAAATATACTACTTAGATTGTATTGCAGTTCCATTTAACAGTATAAAATACTGTTTTGTGTTTATCACTACAAGCTACTGAATTGACTTTTCTTAAGCACTACTAAATTCTTCTCTTGAAGCTAGATCATTCTGAAAAAATCAGACAGCAGAATTCAGCTACAGCAAAACATGCTGCCTCCTTGACAACGAAAAACACCCAATACTAAAATCATACCACACAAAACCCCAAATGAGCATTACTCTATCAAAAAATCAGAATATCTGAATTTTAAGTGCTGCAGTCTTCAACATGTATATATAAGTAATAACATTAACAACCTCAAATATTTAAGGCACTATGTGTGGGAACAGTTTACAATGCAGATGAGAGTATTAGGACAACAACATTTAAGAGCAATGTCTAGGCAACTCTTCTTTGCCCATGCAAAAGACACATGCAATGTGAAGAACAGCTCAACTTTTTAGATAAGTGACTCAACATTTAAACACCAAGATACACAATACAAACATTTTACTTGTACACTGTACTGCTGCCATATGTGCATCTGTTGCTCTAAATCTGTACACTGAATGGCTTCCCAAATGTAGACGTGTCTTGCACTAGTTAGAAGGCAATTTTATAAAAAATAGAAGGAGCAAAACTGGAATTCTGCTCCGGTAAGTCACCTGTCTGGAGTTACTATATAAGAAGATAATATGACCAAAGATACAAGTTATACCAAATGTGCAAAACACATTAAAAGTGAGTTTTGTTTTGTTATTTAAAGCTCAAGGTTGTTTAAATTGCACCCAAATCTACATGATTCAAAAAATAATTCTCTTGTTGTGCCATGGCTAATATTTATTAAATACCATGTTTCTTCTTAAATCAAACATTTATCATTGAGCTTCCTATACATACTGTACTCGAGTTCTCACATAAATGGATACTGGCTGAGTTTTGTTGGACTTAGTGGAAATCCTGTGTAAGCAGGTGATGCTGCAATGTAAGAATGTGGTGCAAAAATAGGTTTGTACTGAGTCTGATGAATGGTTGGGGAAGGTAAAAGACGGGGATTTATGCCCACTGGGACTTGGTGAACAATGCCACTGGGATGAGATATATTGTAGGTTGGATGCTGCAATATAGGTCTTGAGGTACATGATGAGGCTAGGAGGTGGGCTACAGGTGCCGCAGTATTAAGGGGTGCAGATGATGGATACGGAAGAATAGCAGGCTGTCCTCCAAGGTGTGTACTTCCAGCTAAATGTGCATGCACCGTACTGTGATTTGGACTTCCATGTGGAAGGGAGAACGGATGACTGGCAACACCAGCTGGAATGTATGTCTGCTGTCTTCGATGACTGTAGTTTCCATTCCACTCCTGAGGCCCAGATCCAAAGTGCTGAACCTGTCCACAAAGAGAAATTGCTATGTGTTAATTTTGCAGTACAGCTAGAGTATGAACTCAAACTGGAGAAATGTTTAAAATTAATAAACTTAAATTCTGTAAAGAAATACAAAGGAATAATCAAATGAACAAATACAGAAAGTGGAAAATACTAGCTATTGAAATAGTACCACGAACATGAAATTTGAAGGGAATAGTAGATGTATAAACTGAACACAAGTCAATGCAGTCCTCTTGCAAGAAAAGGACAAAATGGTATGCTGTTTTAACACAAGAACCATATATCACACAAGCAAGGTGATTATTCCACTCTGCTCAGTTGTGGCTTGTACACCTGGCGAACTGCACTCATTATGGGCACCACAATAAAGGCACAACTAGTGGAAACAGGAGAGAAAATTTAGAGGAGAGCAGGAAAAAAATGAGGAATGGTTTGAAAAGTATGTGACACACACAACTAGGTCTAGACTAGTGACCCATAGAAGATGTGCTAATTGTTTACAACTATTAGAGAGAGACTATTAGTCTCATTAAATAAGAAGGATAGAACAAGTAGTAGTGGGCTTCAACTACAGCAGGGAAAATTCAGAGAAAGTTTAGTCATCATAGTAAAGCCCTGCAGTGGAACTGTGTCTGTCAAAAAGGTGGAGGAATTTGCAATCTTTGGCAGTGGTCAAAGTTAGAATAAGCTGATCATATTAGGGTTAGTTTAGGATTAATTAAATCAATCCTTCCATGATGATGCAGGAGGATGTACTAGATGACCCAGAGATCCTTTCCAATCTGAATTATTCTAAGTAATAATCAATAAGCCTCCTATCTGTATATGGCAGACTTTAACATTTTGTTTTAATATTTACTATAATCAGATGAGCAGGGTTTTGTTTTTAAATGCACTGCCCCTCCAAATAGCTAGATGTTATTTTAAAAGAGTTTTGTTAATGTAGCTACTGCCCAGAATCTGGGGATGAGCGACGGGATGGATCACTTGATGATTACCTGTTCTGTTCATTCCCTCTGAACCACCTGGCATTGGCCACAGTCAGAAAACAGGATACTCAGCTAGATGGACAATTGGTCTGACCCAGTATGGCTGTTCTTATGCCCAAAGTAAAATAATTAAAATAACTTAAATTTAGTAAATGTAGTTTTCTATATTATGTATGGGCTAGATCCTGGGGTGCAGCAGAGAGATACTTGGTGTAGCACTAAGGAGGTAGTAAATTGGCTTTGTAGCTCTTGATCCTTGGACCAACCTCAAGGCTGTTGTAAATTACACCCACTACCCAGGACCACACAAAGTGTTTCTGGCTGCTGAAGAACTTCTGGAGAAATGGAGATTAGTTACCTGTAACTGGAGGTTCTCTGAGATGTGTGATCCCGAGCTTTATTCCGCATGTGGTGCCTGTGCACCATGCGCAAAAGTCCAGAGATTTTTAGTAAGGAGTGTCCGTTGGTCCGCACATGTACAGTTTGTTCTCCTCTGAACTGAGTGCATAAGGGGTCATGCAGACTGATGCCTCTCCAGTTCCTTCTCATCACAAATCCAGATATAATCTGCAGCAGAGGGGATGGAGGGCAGACAATGGAATACAGCTAGGGATCACACGTCTCAAAGAACTAACCTCCATTTCTTCTTGGAGTGATGGTTCCTATGTGTAGTCCACAGGTGGGAGATCAGCAAGCAGTAGTCAAAATGGAGATGGGTACGAGGACACAGAAGTGATGGCTGATTGTAACATTGCTGTCCCAACAGCTGTATCTGCAGTAGAAGATGAACCAAAGCATGAACTTTTGTGAAGGTGTGCAAGGAGCTCCAGCTGCTCTTCATATCTCTAGCAGATGCAGCAGAAGTTGCCTCCACGCTGGTGGAGTGAAACCTCATCCACTCTGGGGAAGGAATGTGGGCTAGTTGGTAGCCAAGAATAATGCAGCCAGAGATCCATTTAGAAAGTTTCTGCAGAGGTATAGCTTGACCCCTTGATCTCTCTGCTGTGAAAACAAATAGTTTAGGTGTCTTTCTCATAGCTTTTGTTCTTTGTAGATAAAAGGCCAGTGCCCTTCGGACACCCAAAGAACGTATATTCCTCTCTTCATCAGAAGCTTGCGGTTTGAAAAAAATACAACCCACCAATGGTAAATGGATGGTTTGACTCATGGGAAACTCTGAATTTACTTTAGGGATGAATTTCGGGTGGTGGCACAGTGAGACCTTTTCTTTATGGAGGGTAGTATATGGCGGGTCTGCTATGTGTGCTCCCAGCTTTACTGACTCTTCTGGCTGATATTAGGGAGACTAGGAAGGGAACTTTCATTGAGAGTCGGGACATAAAACCGGAGGCTAAAGGTTCAAAGTTAGGTCTGGTGAGTGATGAAAGAATGAAGTTGAGGTCCCACTAGAGTGTGAGCTTCACCATTGATGCGAAGGATCGAAGAAGCCCCTGCAAAAATTTAGTGGCTGTAGGATGAGTGAAGATAGTATGGCTGTCAACAGCAGAATGAAAAGCATTGATTGCTGCCAAATGAAACCAAAGGGAACTAAAACAGATACCCAGTGTCTTATGGGTAAGTAGATACTCAAGAATAGCAGGGATTCCAGCAGATTCTGGAGATTGGCATTGTTAAGCCCAAGAAGAGAAATGCTTCTATTTAGCTAAACAACATCTTCTGCTAAAAATTTCCTGTTAACATGTAAAGCAAAGAGGTCGCAAGACGGCATTCCCCACTGGATGAAGACCTTGTTTAGGACCAAATTGTGAATCTCCCATTCACGGTCTGCAGCAGAATGCCTGCTGAGAATGTCTGCTAGGGAGTTCTGCTCACCTAGTGAACGTGCTGCTGAAAGGGTTATGTGATGGCTGCTGCATCAGTTCCAGAGGTTCACTGGATGTACACACACAAGGAGTAATATCATTCCCGCCTGCTTGTTTATTCAGAGGACAGACCCATTATTTGGATATGCCCGGATTGGATGAGTGGGAGGAAGGCACTGCAGTTCTGACGGACTGCTCTCAATTCTAGTAAATTGTTATGAATCCTGGACTCCTGAAGATTCCAGGTCCTTGTGCAGTATGATCATCCATATGAGTTCCCCAACCTAAAAGGGTGGTATCAATAATGATACTTGCATTGAGTGTCAGTGTGAGGAAAGAGATCCCCATCCATACTTTCTCCACCAGATGAGAGTCCGGGAACTTGGACACAATAGTCACTTTGGCACAGATATTGCCCCTCTCTGGTGAGTAAATGGACAGAAGCCAGCTTTGCAGACAATGAAGATAGATGGCATCATGTGTGCACAAGGTCATGTGGCTGAGGAGAGAACAGGCAAGTTTTGACTGCAGTCTGTGGCCTGAAGGTGACCTGGTTTATGAGAGTACCCAAGGTATGCAATCTCTCAATAGATAGATAGGCTCTTGCTGTGGTCAAGTCCAAGGTCGCTCCTATGAAGTTTATGGACCTTGTGGGGGTTAATGTGGACTTCTCATGATTGACACAAATGCCTAGAAAAGGAAGTAGATGAAACAGGAAATGGACTGCCAATGAGACTTCCTCATATGACTTGCCTGTTGGAGCCAGATATTGAGGTATGGAAAGACGATGAACCCATTTCTTCTCATTCAAGCTGTCACCACTGAAAATTTTTTTGTAAAGACCCTGGGTGCTGTGGCTAGCCCAAATGGAATGACCCTGAACTGGCAGTGATCTTGACTGAAGAGGAACCTCCTGTGGGATGCGTGAATATCTATGTGAATGTACGAGTTTTTCCACGTCGAGATCTGTACAATCTCTTCCAGACATGAAATTATTGACACCAACGTGACCATGCAGAATTTTGGGGGTAAATATAGTTAGTTGGTGTAGTTTGAGAATGGGTCTCCATCTCCTGTTCTTTTTGGAACTAAAAAGTATGGAGAGTACAATCCTTTCCCCTAATGCTGAGGTGGAACTTTTTCTATAGCTCTCCAATGGAGAAGGGAATCCCCTTCTTACAAAGAATTTCCTCATGAGACTGATCCCTCAAAAGGAACTTGGAAGGAGGTTTGTGGGTAGGAGTTGACATACTCAATCACATAGTTGCAATGAGTACTTTCCAGTACCCATTTTTTTGCTATTAGAGCCCTCCAGCTGCAGGCAAATTGGGTAAAGTGGCCTCCAAAAAACTGAGTGGGGGCGGGATGATGTGGCATCAATAAAGGGACGTGGGTCTCACCAGATCTGTCTCAAGAAATTCCTTAGTTGAGGGTTAGAGTGAGGTGTGGCAGTGGACGTTGCAGGAAACTGTGGATTTTGTATGATATATTTGGTGAATCCCAGGGACACTGATAGCAAAAAGGCTGAGAAGATGGTCTTGCTCTGTAACTCTGCCTAAGATGCTTTCTCTTACAAACAGGTATAGATGCCCAGTGAACAAAGAGTTGTCCTTGGGTTTTTGAGGGAGTGGAGAGACTCATCTGTCTCATGGAACAGATTAACTGTATCGAAGGGCAGATCTGAATTGTGTACACTGCACCTCCCTATGAAAATCTGAGCATTGTAACCAAGAATCTTTCAACAAGGGCCGTAGCCATCCCCCTGGGCACAGTATCTGCAGCATCTAGTGCAGCTTAGAGGGAAGTCTTGGTCACCAATTTGCCATGATCAATTAAGGACTGGAGTGGGCTCCGTTTTCCTGAGGAAGTTTGTCTTTAAAATCTAAAAGCTTTGTATAATTGGTGAAATTGTGTTTAGCCAGAACAACCCGGTAATTTGAAATCCTGAATTAAAGAGAGGTGGAGATGAAGATCTTTCTTCCCAGGAGATCGAGCCATTTGCCATCCTTGTCTGAGGAAGTAGTTTTTAGGAATTGCAGCCTGGATCTCTTGGTAGCCACTTGTACCACCAAGGAGTTAGGCAGTGGGAGTGAGAATAGAAACTCTCCTGCCTAGGATGGAACAAAGTAGTGATTCTCAGCCCTCTTTGGGGTGGTAGCACAAGAAGCAGGAACAGACCACACCCTTTTTGCTGCATCCATGATGGTCTTCTTGATCAGGAGGGCCACACACCTGGGGCCGAAGGGTGCAAAATCTCCAGTAATCTACAGTGGGGCTCCTGAACTTCTTCAAGATATATCTGCAGCTCATACACCACTCTCTGCAGGAGTTTCTGATATTGTATGACATAGCCAGACAGAGAGAGCAAAGATGGGATAACTGCTTGATCTGGGGAAGACAATGAAATTGCTCCCAGAATCATCAGATCTCATTCACCTTCCTCCTGCCAATACTCTGATGGAGACTAGTTGGGGTTGGCCAGGAGATGGTAAATAAGGCTCATGTACTGATCCTGGGTGCCAAGGGTAAGGATCCCAAGGGCCCCAGATGTGCCGGGACAAGGGATCAACCAGTAGGGGAGGATCCCATGGCATTGCTCTGTCTCTTAGCAAGTCATGTCTGGCTGGAGGATGGAACCCCAATCTCCTAGTGCTTCTGTCCCAGGCCATCCTCTGTCTGGTAAAGTAGAGACCCCTGTGGAGCTTCTGATCCATTGGATTACCAGTGGAACCGAGGGTACCAATGGTCAGGCTCACTAGTGGGAGAGGAGGGCAGCCCTGCAACTTCAGACTAGCTTTGTCCTCTGGGGTAACTATGTCTCTGAGTAAAGGCAGACCAGAGAGGAGGGATGAGTGAGGGTAGTGGAGAGCGAAAGTGCCCTCCGGGGAGACATAGGTCGCTGACTGCCCTTGGGTGCAAGGTGAGCTCATTGGTGGAGCGGTCAGCTCTAGTGCTTCTCTGGTCACAGTGGAAGTCGGGTCCCTCCAGGGCTGTGATAGTTTTGTCACTGAGTCTGATCTGAATATTGAAGGGAGTGGCCATGGAAGTTTGCTGTACATTTTAGATGTATGAATCAGTACCAGAATCAACAGATCTGTGCCTCTTTGTGCCACTTTCTCTTGCCAGAGTTTTACTCGGGTCTATAGCCTTAGTATCCATGGCAAGGGATCTCTTACCTTTGAAGGGGTCAGGGAAGGATCTTTGCTCTTGACAGTAGGCTTGGATAAAGGAGGTTTGTCTCAATACTTAAGAGAGTGCCCCTTACTCTCACAAAAAGAAAAGGAGGACTTGTGGCACCTTAGAGACTAACAAATTTATTTGAGCATAAGCTTTCATGAGCTACATCCGATGAAGTGAGCTGTAGCTCACAAAAGCTTATGCTCAAATAAATTTGTTAGTCTCTAAGGTGCCACAAGTCCTCCTTTTCTTTTTGCGGATACAGACTAACATGGCTGCTACTCTGAAACCTGTCATTACTCTCACAAGAATCCTTCTCCTTAGGCTTGAAAGTCTTAGCCTCAACTCTGGAGCTCATGCTCAGAGGGGTGCACCTGCTGGAGGCCAACATACTGGGTGATCTCCCCGGTCCACATCTGATTGGGGTCTCATGGCCTGCTCCATCCGATTTTTAAGTCTTAGCTCCTAACCCTCATGAGTTCTGGGAGGGAAGAAGGAGTGGCAAACGCTGCATTTGGCTCAGATGTGAACCTTGCCTAGCCAGTAGAGGCAACGCTGGTGTTCGTCACTCACAGAAAACGAGCAGGGGCAGGAAAAACAATTCTTGAACCCTGGGACTATGGGCATAATCCTAGCCTTCTGGGAGAATTTCCCCAGAGTAAGATAAAAAACAACTAACTACAGGTCATACTAAAAGATTAAAATACCAAAAATTATTTATAATTTATTTACAGAATGACACAGTTGGGGAAGAAGCCAGACACACAGAAGATTCTTACTCAGGTGATGCCGCAGTAAGAAGGAACTGGAGAAACCCCACTATTTACCCTCCGTTCAGAGCATGAGGAGATCAACTGTGCATGTGCAGACCAATGGACACTGTTTACTAAAAATCTCTGAACTCATGTGCATGGTGCCAATGTATACCATGTGTGGAATACAGATAAGGACCTCACATCTTTAAGAACCATGTACACGTGTGGAATACATATAGGACCATCACTTGAAGAACATGTGCCTTTTTTCTCAGCTATGCTCACAACATACCAGGGAAATAGTGAATTACAACTGGATGCATCATCTCTACTACATTCTGGGATTCCCCTCAACTAACAGAATTCTCAGCTGGACAGATACGCTGGGTTTCCAGTTCCAGTTCAACAAGGCTGAAAATATGGCCCTACACTTAACTCCATGGTACAAATATTTTACCATTTGGAAGGAGGAAAAGTGGTCAAATATATATGATCATGTCTCGGGCTTTCTACTAAACTTAATGTAGATTGTAATAATTTTCCCAGTGCTGTTTTTCCGTCATCTTTACAAACTCATCTGTTCAATCACTACCAAGGCTGCTAATTTAGGGACAAAGTAGAAGATATTTCTGACTTGCACAATAGGCTAGAGAAGCCCATTTTTCAGGACTTCAGCAGCTTGACTGCAGACGTTGGGCATATTTTTTACTGACTTGAGACCTGATTTTTCAAACATGTGGAGGAGCCACAGCTCCCATTTAGTTCAGTGTTGCGGGTATCCAGCATTTTTTAAAATCAGGCCCTCAAACCTTAAGACAGTGAAACAGTTCTGAGCTGTGAATGAATGCACATACCTGACTGAAATTTATAGGTTGCTGATGGAATGCTGATGTAAATTTTTGCTGACGGTTACCCACAGCAGGAGGCTGGTTTACTCTTCCAGGGATAGATCGGCCTTTTATCAGCGGCTGGCATGTGTTATCTGGCAAGATATAAACAGGACATAGTTTTGCCTTTGGACAAATAAAATCAAATACTAGTACCAAGGCAAAACTTCAATTCTTTCAACTATTCAAATAGGCAATAGTTGTAAACCAATAAACTAAGAAACTTTGAAAACATTTTAAAAATTAATTTATGATTAAGATTTAATAATTTAGGTAAAATACATGATTAAATAAGAGAGAGGTAGCTTAAATCTTATGTTTGGTGCATATACCTATTGAATAGGCTGCTCAAATTTCTGACTTACCCATTATTATAAAAGAGAAGACCAACTAAATTAGTTTACCTGTATTCACCATCTGCTCATCTAAATTTAATCTGTTTTCTATTCTTATTGGTGGCACCACAACAGCGCAGACAGCGGGTTTGGTTTCTGCGTTAACCGAGTTTCTGGTTTCTGTATTTTGATTGGTGTTGTCTACAAAACTGCTTTCTACAAATGGACTGTCATGTCCTGAAGAGTCTGAGGCTGGGGAACCATCCACAGTATCACAGCCACTCTCTTGTTCGTCATCTGACATACTATTAAAAAAATAAATATTGCATAATAAGCAGAGTGTTCTTCCATTAGCGTTCTTGTAATGTATGACAAAAAGATATTTACACAAAATGTTTAAAAATAAAAAAACGCAGAGAAAAACATAACTAAAATGTAAATTTTAAGTGTCTAAAGTTAAAACCACACAAGCTGGGAATTCAGATGGAAGCTAAAAGTCTAAACTCATCTTCCAGCCTTAAATGACAAGTTGTGGAAAGGATATGGTCACAGTTACTTTGCTAAAAGAAATTAGCGAGAGTTATGGTGAGTTGCACATTAACCTTGCTCTAATAAATCACCCTAATCCATATTAAGTTTTAAATTGTATTCCCACCACACATATGCACACTAATTACCTCATTTTCTTCCTAATTCAAAGAATAAAAGCCTCGCCATGGTTATCATGCCATAAGAAGAGGAAGACATACTTTATGCTTCTAAAAACAAGACACAGGCCTAGGGAGATTGTATAAGTGTCTACCTAGCACAAAGAGATGCATAATTACATGTGAGGAATCAGGAGAACACTGCTGGCACAGTAGCTAGTTATTGTTGGATTAGCCTCTAGATATAGGTGGTTACATATACAGGTGTAGCCAAGCACATAGGTTTGACAGATTATTTCTGACAGTATTTAGGGTAAGAGGAAAAGCAAAGCCCCATTCTCAAACGACAGTCTATAGAACAGAGGTTCTCAAACTGTGGTCCATGGACCACCAGTGGTCTGCGAGCTCCATTCAGGTGGTCCGCAGATAGTTCCCTCTAAGGTGCACACCTGGGTGGCCGCACACGAGAGAATGAAGGGCCATGCCTGCGCATCTCCACTAAATTAGGTACCTGGACCCTGGAGAAGACGCACATGTAAGGTGAATGGTGGCCTTGGGGGGACGAGGAGGCAGTGGGGTGAGAAGAGAGGGTGGGGGGAATTTGGGATGTGCAGGGCTGTGGCCACCAGAGAAAGAGGTGACTTTCCCCAGCTTTTGGGTTGCGGCTGCTGGGGAGAGACGACCCTCCTTCCCAGCCTCATCTCTGTGGCTGCTGTGGTGAGGGAGAAACCCCCGTCTCCTTCCCAGCCCCAGCTCGGGGGCTGCCGCGGCAGGGGAGAGAGGGCAAATCCATCGTATTAGAAAGGTAAGATTACTGATATGAAAATATGAGTTGTGTGCTTTTATTTGTAGAACAAAGAAAGTTTAATTTTTTTTTATATAGTGCTTTTATCCAAAGCACTTTACAATAGTTAGCTAATGGTTCAAACAACATTTGGAAAGATCATTAAGTGGTCCGCTGAGACCCTCAGCAATTTTCAATGGTCTGTGAAAAAAAAAGTTTGAGAACCACTGCCAAAGAACATTTGCTGGTGGGCCATGGAGTATATGCTGATCAACTGATGCATACCCCTCGTCTTTAAAAAATGTTCCTCTTGAAGCAGCTGGTAAGGAGAGGAGGTGGAAATGCCAACCTCTATAATGGTGGGTGAAAAGGGGTTAGAGGAGCTTATAGATACCAATCAGAGAAGAAGTGTCAGTAGGACAAGACCCAGGAATGGCTAAGCAAGACCACAACCAACAGTGGAATCAAAGCCAGGTACTTCATGGAGAGTAGGGGAGATCAAGCAGTGAGGCACTGGGGAAAGGAAACTAACTTTGTTTTAAAAGTTAACTGTAAATGTAAAAATTCACACAAATATTTGTACTACAATGGTGCCTGGAGTCCCCAAATGCATTTGGGACCCACTGTGCAAGGCACTGTGCCAACACATGGTAGGAGTCATTCCCTGCCTCAAAGAGCTTTACGATCTAAATAAGTCATAAGGGTTTGTGAGTAAATTAATCTAGGTGCTCATATAGCACCCATCAGCATGGTAGCTGGATGTGTTCATCACTGAGAGGAGATGTGCCCAAGATCATTTCTTTTTAAGAAGTCGTCTAGGAAAACATGAGAATGCTGATCTACAGAATAAGGCACTGATCCGGCAAAGCACTTAAATACATGCTTAACTTTAAACACCTGAGCAATTCCTAACCTTAAGTCTGTTCCCTTGTGTGTGTCCATTATGATATATTTTTTAATTACATGATCACTCCTACCCCTGCTCCCTGCCATGTCTTCCCCCAGAGCACCCGGCTCACTCAGCACACAGGATGGAGCACACTCCAGGAGTGCATCAGAGTTGCACAGTGAGGCTCTGCAGGCCCCCTGTATCATTTGTTATGGAAGTCAGAAGGTGTATATAAGTGAAAAGAGGTGTGGGATGAGGCAGGGGATTGCAGGAAAAAAAGAATGGTCTCATGGTTAAGGCTGTTGAATGCTGCCCTAGAAAACTGAATTCTATCCCTGCCTCTACTACATAAGTTCCTACACAAGGATAGGCAAGTCACTTAAACCAAACTTTTAACAGGTGGTCACTAATTGCATGTTTCTTGTTTTCTGGGTACCTGACTGGAAGACCCTGGGGTCTGATTTGCAGAACTGCTGAGCACCACTCACAGCTGCAGCTAAATCAGTGAGAACTGTGCTTTGAACATATAAAGTGCTCTATAATGCTAAGTACTTTGAAAAAGTCAGGACCTAGGTGTCAATCCAGGCACCCAAAATCAACCCAATTTGTTGTACACCACCACTAGGTTTGGAAACTTTTGACCTTGTATATCATCTCCTTACCTCATAGGGGTGTTATGAAGATAAACTAATGTTTGTGAAACATTCAGATACTATAGTGATGAGTGTGTCACAGAAGGGGCCATGAAAAAATTAATAATTTTGTCTTCAGAGCAGGGTTTAAATAGTGAAGTAAGGAAGGCATGTGGCCAAACACTGAAGGAGAAAACAAAATATTCAATAGCTGCTCACAAATTGAGCACCATCCATTCTGTGCATTGCATGAAGCAGGTACTATGGAAAAAACAGTATGTGATCATGTAATTAAAAGACTGTACTATAACGGATGTGCACAAAGGGCTGAATTAAGGTTGTTTAATTTTGGCATTTCCCAACGTTTTAGTGTGTGACCTTGCAATCAATGTTCTTCTAATGGAGTTTTTTGTGTGTATTTTTTTTTTTTTTTACACACTGTATGAATTATTGCCATTCAGTTTAACACTATGAAACCATTCAATGAGATGAACTCAATTTATCAGGAACAATTAATAAACTAGCTATGATATATAAATAATATACATCATTAACATACATATAATTTTTTCAAAACATAAGTTAGCCTGTGAAAGAGAGAAATCTGGCAATGTAAAAATACAATGAACTAAAAATGTCAGGAGTTTCACTAAAAGCAGACTTCCACTGTATCCTGGAAATAACATAGCTTTGTACCTGTTGCGTCTCTTGCAAGGCGATGGACTAGACTGGCCAGAGGAGCTGGTGCTCAAAGTGCTGTCAGGGCTGCTTAACGAACATACACGATCAATATTCATAGTGCTCTGGCAGGCTTCACAATCTAGGCTACCTTTACATCTGAAGCAAAGAAAAATAATTAAGACAAAAAATAAATACTGCCTGTCATTTGGCAGGTCATTCATTCCTTCTACACACAGCAAACCTTAAAGTAATACAGACAGATCTTTAATATGTCATTTAGTACTACATTGGAAAGAGAATGGGGCCTATCACCCAAAAGATAAAAAGCAGTGATTCTTATTCCTGTTTAGTGTTCCATTCGTACACAATCTAAAGATTTTTGGGGTCCCTTTGGAAATTTTGACCGAAATTTTTAAATTCTGAAGCCTAAAGTAAGGCTCCTGAATCCACAGTTAGGCATTTAAGTTCAAAAAATTAAAAGTTCGGAATCTATGAATACCCATTCAGGTATTCCTGCAGATATACAACACCTTTGAAAAATTAGGTCATTTTTATTTTGGTGCCTAAATGTGAATTAGGAACCTTAGGCACTCAAAGTAAAAAAAAAATTGGCCACAGTCCAGACCAAATCTTGCAGTCTTTACTCAAGTAAGTCTTCGGCTGGCTCCACTGATTTGATTTACGAACAACTGTAGGCTATGGCCCTAAATAATTTATATATATATATATTTAAAAAAAACAAAAACAAAAAACCTCTGTACCATCTCTGCCATAGAAGTAGCTGATTCTTCTCACACTCCCCACAACATGCAATGAAAATGAAATGTGACATAAGTGGGGAAAGTGTGGGTGCAAGCATGAAAAAGATTTTTAAAGCAGTCCTGGGTATTTAGACACACATCTTCTATTAGAATTAATTTAAGCTGTGTGGCACCCTGGACTGCCTTGAAAAACATCAACCAAATGTGTGTGTATGTAAACCAACACACACACACGAGTGCCTACATATTCAATTTGTTGTACACCACCACTAGGTTTGGCAGGATTTGATTTAAACAGATGTTAGTAAACATCGATTTCAGCTAACACTGAAATCAATAACAAAAAATATCCATTGGTAAGGATTGGGTGTCACTGGCCCTGCGGTAGCACACAGAGCCATCTGCAACCCTGCTGTTGCAGGAGTGAGCAAGTGGGCCCATGACAGCAGAATTGGAGAGGGCTTCTTGGACAGCCAAGGGTCTGGCAACATCAGATCCTGGCACGCACAATGTGTAAGGAAGGCTGTGGACCTGATGGGTCAGAGCAAAGACCCTCTCCCCCAGCCAGGGTTGCGAGCAGGAGGACAAGCCCCCAGCCATGGGGGAGGTCACCCTGCTGCTGCATCTCTCTGTCCCTGGATAGGAGCCATTCAGTAATGGGGTGGCCTTCCCCACGGCCGCGGGCTCGTCCTTCTCGCATCCCTTGCTGGAGGTCTCTGCTTTGACCCACCAGGGCCACAGACTTCCCCTGACCTTGTGCCTGCGTGAATCTGGTGTTGCCAGCCCTGCGACTGTGCAGGAATCCTCTGCAGCTCCACTGTCACAGCCCTACTCGCTCACCAGCCAGGAGTGCAGGGGCCCTCCCTGGGCAGGAATGGTCAGGAACAGGGTGGCCTCCCCCAAAGCCAGAGGCTCATTGTTCAGCTTGCAGCACTGGATGGGAGCAGTCTCTACTCTGCCGGTCCAAGACTGCAGCCTCCATGCACCTTGCACCTGGGTGTCTCTGGCACCTTGGCCACGCAGAGAGCTCCTTGCAGTCCCACTGTCAGTTCTGCACTAACCCCAATCCTACCCCCCCTTAACTCCCCGCAACTGTAAATATAAAAATAGTTAATATTGATTTTTATCGTTTCCCCTACCCCAATTTTTGACAAAACTTGCAAAAAAAACCCCAAAACCCAAATATTGCCAAGCCTAACTACCGCTACTGAACATAAATGCTGATATACATACAAACCTTATTTGCACTCAATTTACACATGGAAGTATTTTATATGTTGAATCTATGGTTTGCATGCACAAGCAATGTGCAAAAATTATATGAATTAATTTTACATAAACTGTACACATACGACAATCATATTTTGAAGATATGGCCCTAAATTTTTATCTTCTACTTGCCTGTTTACCAGTTTCAGATTCACAGCCTGAACAATCAGATGACATCAGGCTTCCTCAAACTTATGTTTAAGGAAAAGCCATAATTCACAGCCATACGGAATGTAAGTGCATTCAAACAAAACTGACCTCTTTTCTTTGATTCACAGTAATTTAATATGGAATAATTTATTTCATAACTTATAGAAAAATCATTTTAGGATGAAATTTCTAATGCCTATACTCAACTTCCAATTTCATACACAGATACTTGTAATGCTACAGAGGTGGGTACGTATGAAAAGTGCAAGCCAATATTAAGAAATAAAATCAATAAACATGCTATACCTAAGAGTAGTCAATTTTCAAACTTTAACAACTTATCTACTGTTATAACAAGAATTCTAAACATTAAGTCCCTGTTATGAATGCACTGCTTGCATAGCTATGCAAAGCAGAATTTTACAAGTAGCCTTCAGTTTCCAAATAAGATACTGCCATGGAGTTGCCTTTTGTACCTAAAAGTTGGAAGCACATTGACTGCCATTGTGTCTAAAATCAAATATTGACTACACACAATAGCTGAACTAGAGAATATTGCTGGAATCACTGCACGTTTCTTAATATAGGTAACAGTTTAATAAAACTAGACTTATTTAAGCTCTTACTCTCTTAGTGAATGCCTTTGTCCTGTATCGTCTTCATCCGTGTCACTACTGATGGTGATCACACTGACTGCTGGACTTGGAGAATCTGCAATGATGATAGCCTGGCGCTGTTTGTTTGAAATAGATGAATCAGGGTCCTGCCTGACAGATGTTTTGCAACAGTTCCTCTCCTGTCCTTCTGAGTTATGATTGTCCTGTGCTTCTATACAACTTACTCTCTTGACAGACTTCACATTAATTATCTTTGGAGATATAAATGCTGAATTTTGGATATTGGTATTTTGTAACACATTACTCCTGTGAAGAAGACACCTCGTTAGACAGTTAGTAGAATCTTTGTAACATACTTGGAAACTTAATTCTATTCTCCTCCCCACAACTTAAAAAAGCCAAGTAGATTGAAACATCATTGTTATACATCCATGAATAAAAATAAACAGTAAAACATAAAGCAGTGAAGATATAGGTAAATATATTGCATATATGGTAATTCATAACAATGATGGCAAATTTTCCACGTAAGTATTGCAAATAGCAAGCAGGTGTTCTGGATGTTGCAACGTAAGGTCTAAGGCTGGATTTACCGGTGAAATGTAATACAATATGCTGAAAGCACCATTCTCTTATAAAGGAAAGAAGGAATGAAGAAATGCTAGCTTGGACACTACAGACATTTCAGTCCTTATTCATTGGAAAGATTCTCACTGACATCAATGGGCTTTGAATGACACCTTGCCTTAGCAAACACTAGAAAAGGAGTCCAGTAGTATAACCACTACCATAATTGTTCTTTATAGCCTTGGTTTCTCCATTACTAAAACATCCCATACCTTTGCAAACCACTTCTGTAGTGATGGGGCACATTTTCTCCAGTGAGCAGCAAAAGAGTTTCTTGCTGCCAGCAAAAGACAGACTATTCTTAATACTAGTCTAGCCATATTATGACCACTATTATATAACTTCTATTTATTTTTAATTCTTTGATGAATCCTCATTCACACAGAATTAGAAGCATCTAATTAGGACTAGCTCAATATATTTTTAAACCCTTACCAAAGGCCATTTAAGCACATATGTAGACAAAACTGCTACTATCCCAGGCAGAGAGTAGATCAAAGGTAAAAAAAAAAGTTTATTTCCATTTCATGTCTCCCATCCTGTTTACCAAAATGCTTCAGAGAAATTGATGAAGCAGCTAGCTAGGTGTTTATTTTCAAAAGGGGCAACAGAACAGTTTGAGCACAGTCACTGACCTTAGTGAGCATGCATTATTCATATCTCTCTCATCCACTGTACAAAGGTTGTGAAACTATGACCTCTCAATCTACACCAAATTAAAAAAAACAAACAAAAAAAAAACAAAAAAAAAAAAACTATTTCACCAACCTGTTCTGGCACAGTTTATTTCTTTTGGTAGCTGCAGGTTGTGGCCAGACAACATGTGCAATGCCCACACTAATTGGCTGAGTGGCAGACAAAGTTATTTGATTTAAAAGAGGCTGTGGCATCACTGAATTGTAATGGCTGCCATGAGGAATCACTTTCCTAAGGAGAGAAGAGGGGAGTTATTAGCTGTAAACTTTTCAACTCAAATCCATATTCTTTGTTACGCAAAAGTCCTAAAAAAAGGTGTACAAAATTGTTTGGACCTACCCCCAGTCTCCAAATCTTTGTGGACCAGCCACAGGATCAGAGGCTAGAGTTGCAGTAGAAGGAGCCACAGGTGTTATTTGTTGCCAAGCAGGAATCAATATTTGCTGAGTTTGATTAGACCATGGCTGTTGTGAAGTAAAGCAGATTTCATTAAGTGGTAAATGACTAGTATTTATATTAGCTTCTTAAAACTCAGCATAAATCCAAAAAAGTGATTGAAATGGGACACTTTAAGAACATATCGAACACAATCTTTACAAATATAAGATTTCTTAAGTGCGTAGTAATATAAAATTTTTAATAGCCATTTTTAAAATACACAATTCCAAATGAACCAACCTGAGAAAGGACTCCTGCTCGTATCTGTAGTGGCTGTATAGTAGGGGCCTGTGTCACCAATGGAACGGTATTATCTACCCTTAATGAGTAACCAGTAGGCTTACCATGGTTTGTAGGAATTCCTAATGGGAAAAGGAAAAACAAATGAATCATACAAGCTTTAAACAAAATATTATTATGATATAACTAGAGCAAAATAAAAACACTGATGAGGAGAATTTTAATCAGACAACTCATTTTTCTTGCTATGCTTATAATTTAGTCGTACCACTGATTTAGACTGGATTAATCAATGTGAATTATCTTAGGTCTGGTCTACACTACAAGTTTATGTCGGATTTAGCAGCATTAAATCCGAATTAACCCTGCACCCAACGAAGCCGTCCACACAACGAAGCCATTTTTTTGACATAAAGGGCTCTTAAAACCGATTTCTGTACTCCTCCCCAACGAGGGGATTAATGCTGAAATCGACATCGCCATTTCGAATCAGGGTTAGTGTGAACGCAATTCGAAGATATTGGCCTCCGAGAGCTATCCCACAGTGCACCATTGTGACTGCTCTGGACAGCACTCTGAACTCGGATGCACTGGCCAAGTGTACAGGAAAAGCCCTGGGAACTTTTGAATCTCATTTCCTGTTTGGCCAGGTGAGCTCATCAGCACAGGTGACCATGCAGTCCCAGAATCGAAAAAGAGCTCCCGCATGGACCGAACGGGAGGTACTGGATCTGATCGCTGTATGGGGAGAGGAATCCGTGCTATCAGAACTACGTTCCAAAAGACGAATTGTCAAAACATTTCAAAAAATCTCAGAGGCCTCGAGGGACAGAGTCTATATCAGGGACGCAACACAGTGCCACATGACACTTAAAGCGCTCAGACAAGCGTACCAGAAAACCAAAGAACCAAACGGACGCTCTGGGACAGAGCCCCAGACATGCCGCTTCTACGCTGAGCTGCATGCAATTCTAGGGGGGGCCGGCCACCACTACCCCACCCCTGTCCGTGGACTCCGATGATGGGGTACTCTCCGCCATGGCTGAGGATTTTGCAGATGGGGAAGATGAGGAGGACGACGAGCTTTGGGAGAGCACACAGCACACCGTTCTCCCTGACAGCCAGAATCTTTTTATCATCCTGACTGAAATACCCTCCCAACCCAACGAAGCCAGAGAAGGGACCTCTGGTGAGTGTATCTTTTTAAATATAATACATGTTATAAAAGCAAGCATTTTTTAATGATTAAGTAGCCCTGAGGACTTGGGATGCATTCGTGGCCAGTACAGCTACTGGAAAAGTCTGTTAACGTGTCTGGGGATGGAGCTGAAATCCTCCAGGGACATCTCCATGAAGCTCTCCTGGAGGTACTCTAAAAGCCTCTGCAGAAGGTTTCTGGGGAGAGCAGCCTTATTCCGTCCTCCATGGTAGGACACTTTACCACGCCATGCTAGTAGCAAGTAATCTGGTATCATTGCATGACAAAGCCTGGCAGTGTATGGTCCCGGTGTTTGCTGGCATTCAAGCAACATCCGTTCTTTATCTCTCTGTGTTATCCTCAGGAGAGGGATATCGTTCATGGTAACCTGGTTGAAATAGGGGAATTTGATTAAGGGGACATTCAGAGGTGCCCATTCCTACTGGGCTGTTTGCCTGTGGCTGAAAAGAAATCCTCCCTGCAGTTAGCCACATGGTGGGGGGGGATATTGGCGCTGAGCTGTTCGCGTTTGGCTAGCAGGTATCTTCCCTGATACCAGCCAGGCGGTGGGGGGAGGGGAAAAGCGATCATCCCAGAAAATTGGATGGGGGGGAGGGGGTTAGTTTGGTTTCTGCTGCTGCACATTAACAGGAAAGCTGCAGCAGTAAATGGCCAACTCAACGGGCTTTGCTTGGTATGGGAAAGGAGGGGGCTGCTGTTATGAAGGTTGCAGAAGCCGAAAGCCTATGGCTTACCATGGCCGCCTGCAAGCCGAATTCTGTTGCCTGGCCCTGCGTGTGTGATCTCTAACACCAAAGCCACAGGCACTCAATATAAGATGCAAAATGCGACCTTGTACCAAAATCACGTGCTATGTAACGTGAATAGTATTGTTCACCGTGAAAGAGTATAGCCATTGTTCTGTAAAATGTATCTTTTTAAATACTTCACTCCCTTTTTTTCCTCCAGCAGCTGCAAATGTTTCAAGCCTCCCTCCTCCGTCCCAGAGGCTCTCTCAGATAAGGCGGCGAAAAAAATGCACGCGCGATGAAATGTTCTCTGAGCTCATGCAGTCGTCCGGCACTGACAGAGCTGTGTGGAGGGACACAATAGCAGAGTACAGGACAGTGGCCGATGAACATGAGGAGAGGTGATGGCAGAAAGATCAGAGGAGGCATGAGGAAATGCTGGGGCTACTGCGGGATCAAACGGACATGCTCCGGCGTCTGGTGGAGGTTCATGAACGGCAGCAGGATCACAGACTGCCGCTGCAGCCCCTGCTTAACTGCCCTCCCTCCTCCCCAAGTTCCATAGCCGCCTCACCCAGATGCCCAAGAATGCGGCGGGGGGGGAGGCTCCGGGCACCCAACCACTCCACCCCAGTGGACAGCCCAAGCAACAGAAGGCTGGCATTCAACAAGTTTTAAAGTGGCCTTTTCCTTCCCTCCTACCCTCCTCCCACACCCCACCCGGGCTACCTTGTGAGTTATCTCCCTATTTTTATAATCAATTAATAAAGAATACATGTTTTTTAAACGATAGTGAAGTTATTTCCTTTGCAAGCAAGCGGTGATCGAAGGCAGGAGAGCGGGTGGCTTACAGGGAATTAGAGTCAACCAAGGGGGCGGGTTTTCATCAAGGAGAAACAAACAGAAGTGTCACACTGTACCCTGGCCAATCATGAAACTGGTTTTCAAAGCTTCTCTGATGTGCACCGCTTCCTGCTGTGCTCTTCTGCCTGCCTTGGTGTCTGGCTGCGTTTATTCAGCGGCCAGGCGATTTGCATCAACCTCCCACCCCGCCATAAAGTCTCCCCCTTACTCTCACAGAGATTGTGGAGCACAGAACAAGCAGCAATAACAATGGGAATATTGGTTTTGCCAAGGTCTGAGCGAGTCAGTAAACTGCGCCAGTGACCCTTTAAACGTCCAAATGCACACTCTACCACCATTCTGCACTTGCTCAGCCTATAGTTGAACAGCTCCTGACTACTGTCCAGGCTGCCTGTGTACGGCTTCATGAGCCAGGGCATTAAGAGGTAGGCTGGGTCCCCAAGGATAACTATAGGCATTTCAACACCCCAACAGTTATTTTCTGGACTGGGAAGTAAATCCCTTCCTGCAGCCATTTAAACAGACCAGAGTTCCTGAAGACACGAGCGTCATGAACCTTTCCCGGCCAACCCACGTTGATGTGGGTGAAATTTCCCTTGTGACCCACAAGTGCTTGCAGCACCATTGAAAAGTACCCCTTGCGGTTTATGTACTGGCTGCCCTCGTGGTCCAGTCCCAAGATAGGGATATGCGTTCCGTCAATAGCCCCACCACAGTTAGGGAATCTCATTGCAGCAAAGCCATCTAGTATGACCTGCACATTTCTCAGAGTCACTACCTTTGATAGCAGCAGCTCAGTGATTGCGTTGGCTACTTGCATCACAACAACCCCCACAGTAGATTTGCTCACTCCAAATTGATTACCAACTGACTGGTAGCTGTCTGGTGTTGCAAGCTTCCACAGGGCTATTGCCACTCACTTGGGAACTGGGAGGGCTGCTCTCATCTTGGTATTCTTGTGCTTCAGCGCAGGGGAAAGCAAGTCACAAAGTTCCATGAAAGTGCCCTTAAGCATGCGAAAGTTTCGGAGCCACTGGGAATCATCCCAGACCTGCAACACTATGCTGTCCTACCACTCTCTGCTTGTTTCCTGGGCTCAGAATCGGTGTTCCACAGCATAAGCCTGTCCCACTAACACCATGATCTCCAAATTGCGGGGGAACATGGTTTTAGAGAAAAGCGTGTTCATGTCCTCAACACTGCACTGCCGTCGCCTCCTCACCTGGTTTTTCAGGTGCTGGTTCTGCATACACTGCACGATAATGTGCAAGGTGTTTACAGGTTTCAGAGTAGCAGCCGTGTTAGTCTGTATTCGCAAAAAGAAAAGGAGTACTTGTGGCACCTTAGAGACTAACCAATTTATATGAGCATAAGCTTTCGTGAGCTACAGCTCACTTCATAACTGCTGTGGTGAGCTGAACGGGCTCTATGCTTGCTGTGCTATGGCGTCTGCTCCTGCTCAGGCAATCCAGGGAAAAGGGCGTGAAACGATTGTTTGCCATTGCTCTGGTGGAGGGCGGGGCAACTGAAAACATGGTTTACCGGGTTGGCTTACAGGGAATTAAAATCAACAAAGGGGGTGGCTTTGCAAGAAACAGAATGGCCCCCCCTCAAGGATAGAACTCAAAACCGGGTTTAGCAGGTCATTGATTTCACGGAGGGAGGGAGGAGAAAATGAATACAAAACAAATCTGGTCTATTTCTTGTTTTGATCCACTTCATCTATCTTTATACATCTTGCTGGCAGCAGACTGTGTAGTACGACCGCTAGCCACCGTCATCTCCTGGGTGCTCGGCAGAAGACGGTGCAGTATGACGACTAGCCATCATCTTCTGCTAGCTGCAGGTTAAAAGACAGTGCACTGCTGGTACGACTCAATCGCCACGAGATGAAACTTAAAAGGGAAGTGACCTGGCTGAGTCACTCCCATGTTTGCCCAGGCACCCCTGACCTCATCGAGGTTGGTTAAAGGAGCACCCTGGACTACGTCGACGACGGCTACCAGTCATACTGCACTGTCTGCTGCCAAAAGTCATACCGCACTGTCTGTTGCTGTGTAGCAACGCAGTACCACATCTGCCAGCACCCAGGAGACATACGCTGACGGTTAGCTGAGCGTGCTCCATGCTTGCCGTGGTATGGCGTCTGCACAGGTAACTCAAGAAAAAAGGCACAAAACGATTGTCTGCCCTTGCTTTCATGGAGGGAGGGAGGGAAGAGGGGCGTGACGATATGTACCCAGAACCACCTGCGACAATGATTTAGCCCCATCAGGCATTGAGATTTCTACCCAGAATTCAAATGGGCAGC